CACACTCAAATGCTCACGAAGAAGAGCGCTTGTGCGTTCGGCTGAGTAATGTAAGTGGTTAAATGTACTTGCACATCGGCTTTTATGTTTTTATGATGCGAGATTAACGTAAACTGCCCACTGTAAACATCCTTGTAATTCGCTTCAACCTTTTCAAACTTTATGAATGATTATTTTAGGTTCAAATGGTGTGTGAACCTAAACTGGAACTGGAAGCAAGCAGAATACGGCTATTTCTAAAGCACGCAGTGCCATCTGCTGTTAAAAACTAAGCTCAGAATCGATTCAAGAGAGAATCGCGATGCCTTCGGAAAATCTCAGAATCGATGCAAAATCATATCTCGATTCGCGATGCATCGATTTGTTGTCCCAGCCCTATCCACGACCCACCTAGACAAGTATAATCTATTTCACAACCCACCAAAATATTTGAGATCAAAAAACAATTGACATTACTTTAAGCTTAATCTTAAAGGGGTCATATGATGCGATTTCAATTTTTCCTTTCTCTTTGAAGTGTTACAAGCTCTTGGTGCATGCGTTTCAGAAAGGCGGGGCATAGAGGAGAAACAATAATGTACAGTATGTGGAAAATAATGTTGTTTTTTTTTACCTTAAACCGCATAAACACATTTCATTACACCAAATACACAAAATAATGTTCTTTTTAGAAACATCATATGACCCCTTTAATTAAAAGTTTAATATGGCAGAAATTTAGTATTTAAGAAAAATAACCATTTTATTTTATAGTACAACTGTAACATTTCACTACTAATATTTACGTTTTAATTTATTTGATTACAGACATTAAAAATATGAAACATGTCCATAAAAACTTGAAACAGCTCACTCCGGTGAACTGTAATCTGCACTGCGTGTATTGTTAAACTCATCGCGGGGTTCAGTGCAGAAAATGCATTCATGACCTTTCTGTGTATAGAGGGGAGCGTAACCCAACACGTTTTTTAGCAAAGCATAAGAAGCGAAGCAGAACTCTCTAAAACAGTTTGGAGATTAAAATAATTGTAAAAATAAACAGATGTGTCTCATTTGAAATAAACACTAAAAACCAAGATGACAAATGTACTTCTGTCAGAAATTTACTTTTGCAATGGTTAAATAAATGTTCAGCAATATCTTCAAAAGATTTTTGAACTTTGGCACCTTTTTTCTCTATATAGAGATGATATGGCAAGGAAATAATAGGACATTTTTTTATGCTAGCGTGTGGAAATGTTTAAATCTTGTAGTGTTACAATTAACCCCGTGTTTGTGCCCCGCTCACCCCGTACATGTGAAACGCTTTTTACAGACCGTTTCCTTATTGGTGGTTAGCCAAATGCATATGAAGGAACGAGAACAGTGCTGAGATCAAACAGATGATAGAAATGAACAAACATACCTGAAACAGTTTTCGTAACATTTGAATCTTGTATTTGGAAATAGAATCATTTAAGGTGAATCATAATATGAATCAGATTCCCATGCCTAGTGATCATCAGCACATCACATTTATCAACATTAATGATTGAAATTTGTCTTTTTCACAGGTGACTCTAATCACAGGTCTGGAAGTCCCAAAGAGCATCATGTGATCATCTTGGACCAATAAGAACGAGCCAGACCTTTCTTGTTAAACAAATCAGTGCTCTGCTCTTAGACTGCACTGACATATAATGCTAATGTTAATAATATTTTTCCCCTCATGGTCATATGGGCGATTTGCATTTCAGTGTTTACAAATCATTCCCATGTTTACAGAAAAGCAAACCGCAATGTCCCCACGGGGGCCAAAACTGGAGTCGGACCCAAAAGCACATTGAAGTAGAGTTATGCCTCTTTTTCATACCTCCAACGAAAGATAGCACAGTTTCAAAAACATATTTGGATTAAAACCAATTTATTAGCCATTTGATATGTTAGCGATGGAACAGAGTGATCAAACGCAACCAATATCAAACAACTGTGAGACTAAAAGTGAATTTGAAAATGTTTCAGGTTAATCTCACATGCTACACAAATCTCAGGTTTACTCACCTTTAATGTGCTTCAAAAGCCCTCAGAAATATCATCACTCAGACTATGAATCTGGGGTGCTGGGATTGTAAAAGTCCCGGTCAAGCCAAAAGCCCTGCGTCAGATAATGGTGAAGTTTACAGTCTCTTCAGTTCATAGTTCCACAAGTAAAATTGTAAATCTTATTGCTAATATCACACTTCTGCTGAATTAGCTGCAAAATTTGAGGAAAAAAACAAAACAATGATCGTAGCACAAACAGTACTGGATGAGTTACATGCTGAAGTGTAATACTTAACGTATGCACAATTGTCTTAGCAAACAGCACTAAAACATAATACCTGCCATTGGAGATACACTGTGCCCTCACCGCCAAGTAGACTCAGCCTTGGTGCTTTATATGAGCCACAGTTGTGAATATTTAGCCAGAATCTCAACTCTGAGGTCTCCTTACACTGTGACCAACATATTCCTTAAAGGGATAGTTCACCCAAAAATGAAAATTTTATGTTTATCTGCTTGCCCCAGGGCATCCAAGATGTAGGTGACTTTGTTTCTTCAGTAGAACACAAACAAAGATTTTTAACACAAACCGTTGCAGTCTGTCAGTCTTATAATGGAAGTGAATGAGAATCACGGCTTCGAGAGTCAAAAAACACATACACAAACAAAACCAAATTAAACCCTGCGGCTCGTGACGATACATTGATGTGTAAAGACACAAAACGATCGGTCTGAAACTGAACAGTATTTATATCGTTTTTTACCTCTGATTTGGTTTTGTTTGTGTATGTGTTTTTTTACTCTCAAAGCCATGATTCCCATTCACTTCCATTATATGACTCACAGACTGCAACGGTTTGAGTTAAAAATCTTCATTTGTGTTCTACTGAAGAAACAAAGTCACCTACATATAGGATGCCCTGGGGGTAAGCAGATAAACATAAAATTTTCATTTTTGGGTGAACTATCCCTTTAAGAGTCTTGAAGTTGAAGTGTGTAATTTTCTCCTGACTCAGCTTAATATGCAGAGGTAATTAATTGTAAGCCATTTTAGGTTGATTTCACAGAAAAGTGTAAACACCGATTCAAAACATCGCTCTGTTTGTTTGAACTACCCATAGCAACGACTCAACCAGTAGTGAGAGTTTAGGGCGGGGCTATCTGTATTTCTGACCAATGACAAATGAGTGGTCGGGAAACCTGTTTGAAAACAGTCACTATTTTTTGTAAATGTATTTAGTGATGCAAAAATTACACACTTCGACTTTAAATACATGACAGACTCGAGCTTCATACACCTCAATACAAGTAAATTATCACTTCATGGTTCAATCAGTATTATTTCCATGCCACGCCCTTTAACGCTTTTTTAGATTCTGATGTCGAAATACAAAGTCATAACTTGTAGTCGGGAGAAAAGATCGCGTTTGCATGTTGTACAGCTGTAAATATGGTCAAAGCAGTGAAGCACGCATGAGTTACACATTCATTATATTGAATTTGTATTAAGTAGTGTGATGACATGAATGAAACAGGAATACAGCGTAGACGCAGAGTTGCAATCTGCCCAAGTTTTTGTTGTGTGGAATTATTTTCTGATAACGTAGCTTTGAGTTAAAACCCCCAAAAGCTACATAACTCCATAACAGCGCTTTTATTCTCATAAAACTGGTCACATTAAATGCTATGAGGATTCACATATGGACCTTGCAACAGGAGATACAAGCCTATGTTCAGTTTATACCTCTGTTCAAAATACAGTGGTTTCAGGGAGAAATGAGAGATAAATGAAAGATATTTTATTTGTTTATTATCCTGTCCAGACATTAACTCACGGGATTATGGAAACAGAAAATAACCCATTGGTGATGTAAAGCATGGGATGTTGTTGATATTTATAATGCGTTTCTATGAAGAGTGTAATTAATGTAAATAGCTTGAGCAGATGCTTTTATCTCACAGTGAGTGCTTTGCTGTCAGGAGTACCAAACTAAAACGGAGCAGGTACTGGCACTAAATAAGTGCGATAAAAAAAAAAGAAAAGAAGAAGGAGTGGTAAAATGTAAAAAGCTGCGCTTAAAGGAATGTTCTGGGTTCAGTCAGGGCCATTGTCTCTTTGGGACAACTGAGAATGTTGTTCCAGGTCATTCATTGACATCTTTACACTACTATGACGGCATTTCAAGTATAAATCACAGAAACAAATGTGAACTTTTAGCAGTAAAATACCAACACAAGTACCGACACAATCTCATGGCAGTTTCTAACTATTTTACATTTTGGCAAATTGGTGACTAATCCATATGAGTTTCTACTATCTCACTCGTACATTTTCAGGTTGGATCTATTTATGCCCCCGAAACGGTTATAGGGTTAGAAGTGGATATTCATGCTTACTTTTTCGCTAAAAATCATAAATTTTCATCTGATAAAATTTTAGTAGGGAAGAATTTGTACAAGTGCTTTAGCTGCATATTTCCACTTCTTGACCCTTCAGAACATTTCGCCCTATAGACCTCCATTGTACTGTAAAAGTGCCAAGTTCAATTATTGTCTGTGGTAACTGCCAACATGCCACATATGCTGTCCATATGTACTTTTTTCGCCTCATCCACCATATTTATGACCATCAGCTGGCAAAGTAATGGCGATAAATACAGACATACAGCCATCAATGGCTTTGATCCATACAAAGTACCAGAAAACATTTTTACAGATCTCAGGTTAGCCCTAATAAATGTAACTTTCATAGTCATTTATATATTTAATCTCTGTATGTAATGCCAGTATATGGAGAGCACTGATATACAAATAGGTAATGTGGATTAAATATATTGTATCTCTTGTGTTTTCATTTCACAGCCAATATTTGCTAATGGGCTGCCAATGGTCATAATTATGGATGATGAGCCGGAAAGTCATGTGACTGAAACGGGTGAACAGCTAAAGCTGAACTGTGAGCATTCCTTTAAATCCAGTTTATTCTGTGGGTGACGCCTGCCAAAACTGCCGTCTGTCCAAAAGGATCTATCTCGCTGATTTTTTTTTTTTTACAGTGTCATTTTAAATATCACAATTGATTTTTTGTTTGTATTAAAGTATATTTAAAAGTTTATGTCAATGTAGATAATAGAAACACTGATCTTGTACTCAATATGAAACAAAATGCACTCAAAAAACAGTTTGTTGAGATTGGAATAATGCTGACATGAGAACTTGAGAGAGTGCATTGTATATGTATGATAATAAACCAACTGTACAGTAAGATAATTCTTAAGCTAACTATGGATATGACCCAGAATCATGGGAGAAAGGATGTGTATATTTATTGAAGAGGTCAACTTGCAATTCCTGCCTAACTGAATTTATTTAAACTGTCATACCAACTGCCATAGCCTAAAATATCCAGATCTTGGACATGAATAATTTTCCTTACTTTTCCAGTTTCTCACAGTCTTAAATATTCATTAGGCTGAGAAAATTAACGTCTCGTCCTGTGCCTCATTCACACAAATCTGCCAAAATTAGAGACATTGCTTTGGAATGTGGTGTGTTTTCACTCAGACTGGATGTCAACCAACTTAAAACTTCATATCAGGGTGTTTCTTCAACTATGGTCACCTTTTGCCCTGTGAACTTTCAGAACTTTTGTCATTTTTGAACCAACAAATGTAATTTCCATCTCGTCAGAAATGGAAATGACATTTGAAACATTTTAGAATGGCCAGTGTTGGGGGTAACGCATTACAAGTAATGCAAGTTACGTAATCAGATTACTTTTTTTTTATTTTTATATCTAGTAAAGTAATGCATTACTTTTAAATTTAATAGAAAATGTCCAAGTTACTTTTTCAAATAAGTAACGCAAGTTACATAGTTTTCCCATTTATTCACTAACAGCTCTCTTCTCTGTCCCCGTATTGAGAGAAATTGGGAGTGAGGTGCAAAGTCAGAGACACTTCCTTCAGCCTTAGGCTTTTTAATTTCACTTTTGGTGGGAAAGGGCTTTTACAGTTACCAAAAATATAACTTTTGGGGTTTTTTTGTTATTCAAAATTAAGCCCAGCTCAGGTGACAAAAAGTAATGCAAAAGTAACGTAATGGATTACTTTCCATAAAACGTAACTAAGTTAAATTTTATGGAGTAATGCAATATTGTAATGCATTACTTTTAAAAGAAACTTACCTCAACACTGATAAACTGACATTGACTTTAATTTTACTTAATTTTTTCACTTCTCACATGTAAACAACTGTTACAATAAAGTAAGGGATAATGCACGGCTAGCTGTGCATTAAACAAGAACCACCAGACACAAAGTGCATTAAAATTGTTTAATGAACAGATAGCTGTGCATTATCCTGCTTATACCGTGGTCATTTGCCAGCATTGACGAATTAAAGCTGTTAATAATGTTTGCAGCATAATATTTGACCAGAAGGATAAAAATGACAGTTTTTGCCAGTTATGACTCATAAGCGCCAGCATTCTGCCCACTTCAAATCAGAGTTGAGTGCAGTAAGATCACATGTATTTGAATGAATTATAGCATTTATTTGAATTAATTATCAATCGATCGATCGATCGAGAGAGAGAGAGAGAGAGAGAGAGAGAGACGTTTGTCTCTCTACAAAAGATAAAGCTATGTTTAGTTACTTCAAAAACAGCGATTTTACCACCTCGTTGCTGAGGAATATAATGTAGTGATCTAGTATCTAGGCTATTTTATTAATAAAAGCCATGGGGAAGAGTTGACAAGTTTCTGTATGTATGCAGCGCAATCTGCGATCTCCGACCTCTCTCTCTGTGTGTGTGTGTGTGTGTGTGTGTGTGTGTGTTTGTGCGCGAACAATGTGTGTGGGTTTATGTGCATCAATTGACCATTAATATGTAACGGTGATTAAACTGACTTGGAACTACCTGTGCATTAAACAGTTGTAATGCATACTTGCTAGCCAATCAGAATCCAGTATTCAGACAGACCATGGTATAACTTCTATTAATCTTTGGTTCAGTGTTTTTTTTAAATTTTTTATTCAAGATCAAAAGTCTGGGTCTGGGAAAAGGCTAACTCAATAAAAATCTGTGTAAATGGAATTTAAAAGTAGCAAAGAGTAAATGAAGGCTTGTAAAATTACAATGATGACTCATCATTAACAAAGGTAAAATCATAATCCTTGGGGCATAAATGTGGCCAAAGTTGAGGAAACACCCATCAAAAGTAAGCACAGATGAATTACATTGGTTTTTCTTCAAGAAACAAGGACATACTGAACAAATGATTCTCTTGAAAGCGCACAAAATGAAATGGTCTTGAGGTGTTTGCTATATAGCTGTACGGTTAATATGACTGCCTGCGAGTGTGACCATCATCACAAAAAGTTCAACGGTCCCAATAACAGAAAATCTGCCACTGTACCAAGTGTTTAAGGATTTATTTTTCTATATTCAGCATATTACCTATGTGGATGTACATTAGTCAGGTGTTTGGCCCTCAGATTATCTAATTGAGAAGAGTTTGGAAAGGAAAGACAAGCTGTTTCTCTGAAGAGTCTTTCCATTGATCTCCTGACATGAGACACACACATATGAACACAGCCCTGCGCTGTGTGCCATCATCATCATCCTCCTCATCCTCGAAGCAAACTCTAATGTGTGGGTGCGTGTGTTTTCGGTGCTTTTCTTCTGTATGTGATCTCGAGTTTTCATTTCCTCTTACTAATGTGATATTTTGTATGTCTTTGTGGTTTGTATATCAAATACATTGTATATGACATTCTTTTCTTACTACGTAGTGTAGAAGAAAACCAGTGTCTTTCCCTTTTAATAAACAATAAAACCGTGATCCATGCATCTTTATTCAGAGTATCTCATCTATGATTGTTTCTTTTCAAGCTACTTAAAGGGATAGTTCACCCAAAAATGAAAATTTGATGTTTATCTGCTTACCCCCAGGGCATCCAAGATGTAGGTGACTTTGTTTCTTCAGTAGAACACATTTGATGATTTTTAACTTTAACCGTTGCAGTCTATCAGTCGTATAATGCATGGCAATGGTAACAAAATCTATGAGAGTAAAAAAAACATGCACAGACAAATCCAAATTAAACCCTGCGGCTCGTGACGACACATTGATGTCCTATGACACGAAACGATCGGTTTGTGCGAGAAACCGAACAGTATTTACATAATTTTTTATCTCTAAAACACCACTATGCCCAACTGTCTTTGGGCGCGCGCACGGCATCCGGTGCGTGAGGTGTGTACGCGCTCTGGTGTAGTTTACGTTAATGGGTGTGTTGATATCCAGCCGAAGAGCAATCAACCATAACTTCAGGCGAGCAGGCTCAGAAGTTGGGAATACGTGGAAAGTCACCACTCCCGAATGAGTTCGCGCGAGAGAACGTAATCTTTTAGTTTTAAGTCAGTTTGAACAATCCGGATAAGCGCAAGTAAGTACCATTTTGATTAGCCGTCGTACCTACAATGACTGTGCACTGTGTAAACAATGAGTGACGTATACACTCTTAAAAATAAAGGTGCTTCAAAAGGTTCTTCAAGCGATGCCATAGAAGAACCATTTTTGGTTCCACAAAGAACCATTCAGTCAAAGGTTCTTTAAAGAACCATCTCTTTCTTACCTTTTTATAATCTGAAGAACCTTCTTTCACCACAAGCGCGTACACACCTCACGCACTGGATGCCCAAAGACAGTTGGACATAGTGGTGTATTAGAGGTAAAATATTATATAAATACGGTTCGGTTTCTGGCACAAACCGATCGTTTCGTGTCTTAGGACATCAATGTGTCGTCACGAGCCGCAGGGTTTCATTTGGATGCTTTGGTGTTCTGGGTAGTTTCTCTTACATTTGGGTATTTTAGAGAAGGCTCCCAAAAATTGCCAAATTATGAGGAAAAGTGTACCTCAAGTAGTTTCATAATTTGAGGTGTATTTTATATCTGTAGCACATACACTGAGGGATGAGTTATACACCAAAGTGAAGAAACCTAAAAATAATCAATAAGGGCATTGCAATTGTTCTATATGTAAAATGACTGAGGTAAAGTATGGCACATTTCAATTTCAGCCCAGTCAAAATGTGATATTCCATACTTATTTAAATGTTCTTGCATTTTTAATGGTGTCGGTTTTTCTGAAGATTCAGAAACAGCTGCTCAGTCGCTGTTACCTTTTCACTTTAACTTTTGATTTCTGAATGTCTTTGGAGCTCAACATCAGCATTCCGTTGTTGAAGCGTCCAACTTGTCCACCCAGCTCTCCGCTAGACGACGATTTACTTTTCTCAGTCCTGGGAAGTCAAAAAGACAACAAAAATTAGCAACACTACAAAAACAAAAACACCTGATATCTTGACTCTGAAGGTGCTCTGTGAAATTTCACAGCCAAAATTCAGTAAATTCAATAGGATTCTGTAGGCAAAAATGTTCCCCATGCAGATTTTGCTCGTGGTCATGCCAGTTGGTCGCGCAGATTCACTGCATTAACCAACAGACAGCTGCTGGTTTAAAAGTGACTCCTCTGAGAGTTGTGCTTCACGCATCGCAACATAATTTCCAAACTTTTTTTATTTGCCCTCAATTTTGCTAATGTGGCCACACCTTAAGCCTGTGCTAATACAATCAAGCACAAACAAACTACAACCCATTTCATTTAAATGACAAACAGAAGGATGGACTTTTTAATGTCATTGAGTTCAAAACGTAAACACAAACCTTGATTTCCCTTCTTTCTTTCTTTTCTTCTGTGGTTCCTGACAAAACACCCAGAGAGGAAAGGTTAGTGGAAAGGTTGCACATGCTGCAGAAGTAGTCAAGTGTTTTAAAAAGTAAGAATATATCAACTGTTTAAATTTTAAAAGTTGTACTTACAGATTTTGCTTCCTCTTTGGCTTTCATCTTCTGTTCTTTTATAATTTGTTGATACACTTTGTAATTAACATACTGCTTTTTAGGGGCCTATAGAGAAAAACAACAACATTTATTCATTTGAGTATTGTAAAAAAAAAAAAAAAGAATTATATATAAATAATAATAAAATGTTATGACAACGATTAAAAATAAAGTGCCAGAAACATACTCTACACAGGTATGCAAACCCAAAATGCAAACTAGTATTGATATATATTGATTATACATTGGTATACTATTATTAATTTTGTTAATATTTTGAGTTAAATTTTATTTTTCTATTTTCTATTTTCATTCTAGTTTAGTTTTAGTAATTTTGTTGTATTTTTGTCATTTTTATATTTTAAGTAATAAAAATGTGGAATTTTTTAATATTTTTTTTAAATGGTATTAGGTTTACAATAATTACCCTGCTGCCAACACATTGCAAGTGTAAGGGCAAGGGGGGTCAAAATGTCTGTGACATTCAAATAAAAGTATGATTAAATGTAAACTTGTCAATAGTTCAACCAACTTTCTCTGCAAGATTCGATTCACCTGCTAGAGCGCCCCTTGTGGCAGTGCCGAGAATGCATACTTGTGCTGTGTTATATATTGCATTCTGAGCCATTTCTGAACACAAAGCACCGCAGAAGGGTTTCTTTGAGTATGTTTGAGGCCCAGCAGTGCTGCATGCGATTAGTGGATGTGTGCTGAACTCACTCTGGCTCCCAGCATGATGGCTCTGTCCTGCTCAAAGACCCTCTGCTGCTGCTTCTGATACCCCGACAGCCCAAACTTGTGAACCTCAAACCGAGCCTGCGGAGGACACACACACGTCATGCCAGTTCATTCAAGAAAAAAAAGTGGCATATCATTCTGCAATTGAATTTCAGCCGAGGAAGTTACTGACTTGGAACTGTGTACACACACAGGCAGTTGAACAAATAGCACTCTGAACACGAAACACGAGAGAATCAATGTGATGCGAGAAAATATGCGTTACCTTAATAAACATTAATATACCGTATATATTATATTATATATTATATATATATTAATAGAACCTCATAAATGACTGATCTGGAATACTCTACATGAGCAGAAACTCCATGAGGCAAATAATGTTGTGCTGCAACTGAATTCAAGAGTTTGACATTAGCATGTTGCTAAGCTAACAACGAAATATTCTAAAAACACACAGCAAACCAATTTTAGGTGTTTTTTTTTTTTTTACTTTTTTGTTTTCAATTATTTTCCATACTTTCCAGCAGGGCTTCTCAACTCTGGCCTTCATTTTCCACTTTCCTGCAGAGTTTAGCTCCAGCCCTAATCAAAAACACCTGAATAAGCTCAAAGTCTTCAAGATTACTCGAGCCAGAGATGGTCTTATTAATCGGAGGTATGATAGAATGTCTATTTGATAAAATGTTTAAGGCAGGTGAGTTTGATCAGGGAACTCTTGCTTTTCAGTACTGAGTTTTCAAGAGTATTTATAATCAAGATTTCTTTCATTTTGTCCACCATCTTGAATATACAGTGGTGTGAAAAAGTGTTGGCCCCCTTCCTGATTTCTTATTTTTTTGCATGTTTGTCACACTTTAATGTTTCAGATCATTTTCACTGACTTCCACAAAATGACAAAGGAACTGATGGATTTATGAAGGAAGTTTTTCTAATATGAGGCAACTTACTAAAGCAGTGATACTGAACTGTACTGAAGAGTTTAGCTCCATCTCGAATTAAACATCTCCTAATATCAAACATGCTGACTATGTAGACAGCTCACTAGGTTTTGAAAAGGAGCAATAATCTCACCTTTTCTATTGTTAGTTTTTCATCGTTTTTCTTCTTTTCTTTGACATCGGAAACCTGAGGATAAACAAACATGGATAAAGACAGATGAGAGTTGAATACAGTTGCTGCAGCTGCTTTTATCTGTATGGTTCACTCAATCTTTCATGCACATATTCACATTTCCGTTTCATCATTTAGCAGACGCTTTTATCCAAAGCGACTTACAAATGAGGAGAACAATAGAAGCAAGACCAACGAGAGAGCAACAGTATACAAGTGCTGTGACAAGTCTCCGTTAGTCTAGCACAGTAGTACACATAGCTAGTTTTTTTGTTGTTGTAGATAATGGACTACTTCTGAGGTTGCATGTTCTTCTTACGTTCTGCCCTGGTTCAACAGCCTTTGATAATTTGTTCTTCTTCAAAGGAACAATAAATGCAACAACCTCCACGTTGGATCGTTTTGCCCCAGATAGCATGTTTTTCCAGCACCTAAACATGAAAAAGTACATCAAATATTATAATCGGTAATTACAAATTCCATAAGACTGTTGTTAGCTAATTTATTTTGTAGGCCTATATTACGTGCAGTATGCAACATTTTAATTAACAGCTGCGACCTTATTTTCCTTATGTTAAACTGACACTTTCCGAATTAAACAGCAAATGTAACAAATTAGGATTATAGTTTTTTTGAATGTTTATCGTTGCATACTAATTACTGCTTTAGTACATTTGTTTTGGAAGCAGTATGCAGTATATACTGCACAATATCCAGTACGCTAGTGTTCACGCGTGTGCATCAAATGTCCTTTCTCAGTTTCCGTCAACACGCTCGTCGTCCCGGAAGTAGCATGATCTGAAATGTTGACACCGCCCAATGTGATAGGACAGGACAGGAGGAGGAGAAAACTGTAGAGGCTGTAAAAATGCTTTCTTTCCTCTAGACGGCGCATGGAAGCCCCGAGCTCCAACCCTCCACTGAACCACATTAAAATCTCACGGCGTTCTTGTCTTACTAGATGTGCGGTAAAAGTCATACACTTTTAAATATAGCACTTTTAAAGAGTGCTACCTGACATAAAAATAAAAAGATCGCGCAGAATGTTTAAATAAAGACATTAAATGAACGCAACAATCTAATAATCACAGACGTCAGTAATTGGCCCATCCGTGCAGCGCTGAGAAAAGTAACATGTACCACGTGTTCAGGCCATCAACGTGACGCTGAGGCGGTTTTAACCAGAAAACTTAAAAACAGAAAAAAACGTTCAATTAAAAGATATACATATACGGCGAGAATTTACAGCCATTATGAGCTATTTCATCCGTTTTGCTAACTTTATCCAGATTTTCAGTGACCATACTTTCAATCACATGAAGCCCGCCCCCCAAAATACCGTCAACCAACCCGCAAGCAGCAAACTCAAACCCACAAATGATTGACAAGGAGGAGGCGTTTCTGATTGGCTAAACTTAGGAACGCTCCCGCCTCGATTCGTTTTTTGTTGTCGTTTACAGAGCTGTCACAGAAGCCGAGACAGGTATTTCAGGGCACCTTAGTAAAGTCTGTGGTGTAATAGTGAGATTTAATGAGCGGCATTAAAGAAATAGCTTGGAGCACCTAAAAGTGTAATATTAATGTGTACTTTGTCCAGCCGTACCTCCAAGCCCCGCCCACCCGGCTCTACTGTTTCATACTCAGTTTTCATTCCTCCCGCATGTTGTGTTTCTATGACTGGAATGAGTCCTGGACTGAACGGTCAAGCTTGATCAAACTTTCTCACCCAGAGCTCTTCTGGTCTATTACACTCATGCTTTGATAGGTGCGGGATCGAAATGGCGTCTCGAGCACTGTACTCGGTGAGTGTTACAATATTTTCGCATGCTTTCTGTCAAAGTAGCACATGCTTGCAACACTTGCAGTGTGTGAATCTCTAACAGAGCTTCCTCTAATATTTTCCTTCAAGGAAACATTAATAAGCACATTTCATGTCCAGTGCACACGAGCGTTTCATGAACCAAATCAAATCTCTCACATGAGTTTTACATGTCATTTGTTTTAAAAATGATTTAACATGGGTTTAGGGCCATATACCATTAGAAAACCATACTGTACAGCTATCTATAAACTCTGGCAGCGTTTTATTAATTATAAAAGTAATAATCAAATGTATGTCTGTGTAAGAGCAACATACATTTGTAGCTATTAAGTTTATTTTCTTTGCATTGCTTACAAATAAATGGACACACCCTCATTATTTTGTATTCCACATTTTAGAATAACAGTAAAAGCAAAACTATTTTGAAAACACAAATGAATTAATATAAATAATGTAGTGACCACAAATAAGTTAGCTTATTTAAGTTATCTTACCAAAAAAATATTATAGAATATACTGTATAGATTTGATATAAAGTTTATAATATTATAGAAAGTGTTATTCTTATGTACAATTTATATTTGTTAATTTGAACAAACATATATCAATTTAAAACAAATCAAAATAAATTCAGTAAGTCAGTCATAAGTGAATATATCTGTAATATTTTGTGCATGTGTGCCAATGCGCATCACGAGTATCAGTCCTTGCCATTTTTATTCTTCAGTTTTTTATTTTATTTTTTATGTACTGTAATTGTAATGTATTACAGTTTTAAAAAAGCAGAAGCAGAAATGTGATCAAGTAAACGGTCTATGTTTTCTGTCTTCATACAGCCTAGGCATCCAGTGCTGAAGAAGCGGGATGATTTTGAAGACGTTCTGGAAGAGAGAAGACGCTCCAGTGATCTGAGATACGCACTGAGATGCTACACTCCCACACTCTATAAAGGACTCGTGCCCTGCAAGGCCAGCATGCTAAAAAGCATCGTTCTGCAGTCAGACCACCTGCAGTATGTCATTAAACAGGTACAGAAACAACACAGCGCCACCGTTCTCCTCAATGCCACAGTTTCATGCAATAACTAGGAACCCTAAATCAAGTGAGGCATTTTGGTGGAATTGTACATTCAGTTGAAATACGGTCTTGTTTAATTACAGTTATGTTTTCTGAAGAGTTGTGCTGTCCATTCAGGTGTCTGTATCTAGGAATACAGATCAAACCCTAGGTGTTTTAATGGCTACTGAGTTGTGTGTGTGTTTAGGTTTCATCAGAATCAGGAGACAGCGCCGAGTGTGTTGCGGAGGAAGCGTCTCTGATCCTGGATGAGATGGCTCACCGTCTGCAGCTCAGCACTATACGCTTCTTTGCCTTTACGCTCAGCAAAGCCTTCAAGAGACTCTTCCGCAGCGTTTGTGTCAATGAGGAGGGCATCCAGAGAGTGAGTGACTCTTCACTGTCCCCAAAATACACGTGTGAAATTCCTGCTAAAACACCTGGCATCTACACTGTGAGCCGATTACTAGGCTCGTCTAATGTTACTAAAACATGTGTCCTAATTACAGTTCCCTTGTGGCACTTGTCATTAGCATGTCATTATTTTAAAAGAGCTTTTTTATTATCATATATATTCTACTGTTGAAAAATATTGAATAATTACGCCTTTTATTAAGACGTTTCTTTTGCTCACTAAGGCTGCGTTTATTTCATTACAAATACAGTACAACAGTAATACTGTGAAATATTATTAACATTTAAAAGAACTGTTTTCAGTTTGAATATATTTAAAATAATGTAACTTTTTCCTGTGATCAAAGCTGATTTTTCAGCATCATTACTCCAGTCTTCAGTGTCACATGATCCTTCAGAAATCATTATAATATGTTGATTTGCTGCTCAGTTCTTATGTTATTTTTTATGCTCAGTTATTAATAAAACAGTTGTGCTGCTTTGTGGAAACTGTGCTACATTTTTTTTTTCAAGATTCTTTGTTGAATAGAAAGTCCAAAAGAACAGCATTTATTTGAAATAGAAACATTTTGTAACATCATTAATGTCTTTGTCAATTTTGACCAATTTAATGCATTCTTGCTGAATAAAATGACTATTGTTTTTAAAATCTTGCTTACCCCACACTTTTATCACAAAAATATTAAGCAGCAAGCAAAGCTGCTTTCAACGTTGATAATAATAAAGAAATGTTTCTTGAGCAGCAAATCAGCATATTAGAATGATTTCCGAAGGATCATGTGACACTGAAGATTGGAATAGGAATAAATTACATTTTTATAGCAATAAATAAGCTTTCCATTGATGTATGGTTTGTTAGGATATAGGGCTGCACGATTAATCGCATGCGATATTTAACGCGCATCTTATCAGTAAAGC